GCTAAGAAACTCAGGGAAGTAAGCATTAATGTCTTGAACAGTCCACATTACACAAGGGGAGGTACTGGAAATCTTTAAAAAAAGTGGATAAATCTCTGGTCCTGATTAAAGGTGTCTCAGGACATTGTGGAAAGTTAGGGAAGAAATGCAGGGCCTCTAGTAAAGCTATTTGGATCATGGACAGCCACAGGTGAATTGCTGGATGGTGGCTAATCAGAGATCATAGAATCCCACAGTGTGGAAACAGGCCCTTTGGCCCAACAAGTCTACACCAACCTTTACAGTATCCCACCTAGACCCATCCCCCTATAAACCCACCCAATCTATGCACCCTTAAACAGTACAGGCAATTTAACAAGGCCAATCCACCTAGCAAGCACATCTTTGGACTGTGGGAGGAAACTCACACAGACACAGGGAGAATGTACAAACTCCATACAGAGTCACCCAAGGCTGGAATTGAACCCAAGTCCCTGGTGGTGTGAGGCAGCAGTGCTAGCCACTGAGCCACCATGCCACCCCATGTTGCACCTTAATTTAAGGAAGGCTGTAAAGCGAAGCCAGGGAACTATAGACCAGTGAGTCTGACATCAGTGGTGAGTAGGTTGTTGGAGGGGATTCTGAGAGATAGGATGTGGAGAGGCAAGGGCTGATTAGGAATAGTCAGCATGGCTTTGTGCGTGGGAAATTGTGTCTCACAAACTTGACTGAGATTTTCAAAGATGTAAGCAAAAAGATTGATGAGGGCAAAGCAGTAGACATGGTCTACATGGACTTTAGTAAAACTTCTGACAAGGTTCTGCGTGATAGATTGATTAGTAAAGTTAGATCACTTGGGGTTCAGGGAGACGTTGCCAATTGGTTACAAAATTAGCTTGACGGTAGGAGACAGAGTATGGTGGTGGAGGGTTGTTTTTTGGACTGGAGGCCTATCCCCAGAGGTGTTCCACAGGGATCGGTGCTAGGTCCACTGTTGTTTGTCATTTATATAAAAGATCTAGATGAGAATTTAGGAGTTTAGTAAGTTTGCACATGATACCAAAATCGGTGGTAAATTCAACAGTCAAGAAGGTTATCTAAGATTTCAAAGGGATTTGATCAATTGGGCCGATGAGCTGAGCAGTGGCAGATGGAGGTTAACTGCACAGAGAGATCTGGGTGTTCAGGTCCATTGTCCCTGAAGGTGGCAACGCAGGTGGATAGAGTGGTCAAGAAGGAATATGGCATGCTCTCATTCATCAGACGGGGTACTGAGTACAAGAGTTGGCAGGTCATGTTACAGTTGTGTAGGACTTTGGTTCGACCACATTTGGAATACTGCGTACAGTTCTGGTCGCCACATTACCAAAAGGATGTGGATGCTTTGGAGAGGGTGCAGAGGAGGTTCACCAGGATGTTGCCTGGTATGGAGGGCGCTAGCTATGAAGAGAGGTTGAGTAGATTAGGATTATTTACATTAGAAAGACGGAGGTTGAGGGGGGGCCTGATTGAGGTCTACAAAATCATGAGAGGTATAGACAGGGTGGATAGCAAGAAGCTTTTTCCCAGAGTGGGGGACTCGATTACTAGGGGTCACGATTTCAAGGTGAGAGGGGAAAAGTTTAAGGGAGATATGCGTGGAAAGTTCTTTATGCAGAGGGTGGTGGGTGCCCGGAACGCGTTGCCTGCAGATGTGGTAGAGGCGGGCATGATAGCATCATTTAAGATGTATCTAGACAGATACATGAATGGGCAGGGAGCAGAGGGATACAGATCCTTGGAAAATAGGTGACAGGTTTAGATAGAGGATCTGGATCGGCGCAGGCTTGGAGGGCCGAAGGGCCTGTTCCTGTGCTGTAATTTTCTTTGTTCTTGTTCTTGTTCTTTGTTCGATAAATCCATTTTGCTAAAACTAACAAACGCAGCACTTATACAGTTAGGAGTTGGGTCCTGGGTGGTGTTGTCGAACAAAGAGACCTAGGGGTTCAGGTACATAGTTCTTTGAAACTTGCATTGCAGGGATACAAGGTGGGTAAGGAAGGCACTTAACACGCTTGCATTCATTGCTCAGACCACTGAGTATAGGAGTTGGGATGTCATGTTAATGTTGTATAGAACGTTGATGAGGCACTTTTGTAATACAGTGTACAGATCTGATCACCCTACTATAGGAAAGTTTTTATTAAGTTGGAGAATGTTCAGAAAAGATCTACTAGGATGTTAGTAGGACTGGAGGGTTTTTTTATAAGGAGTGGCTGGATAGGCTGGGACATTATTCACTGGAGCGTAAGAGGTTGAGGGGTTACCTTATAGACGTTTATAAAATCATACACAGCGCCATACATAAGGTGAATAGCAAAGGTCTTTTCCCCAGGGTGTGGGGAAGTTCAAAACTAGGTGGCAGATTTTTAATGTGAAAGGAGAAAGATTTAGAAGGGACTGAAGGGCAACTTTTTCACACAGAGGGTAGTTTGTATGTAGGATGAACTGCCAGTGGAAATGGTAGATGCAGGTACAGTTACAACGTTTAAAAGACATTTGAACAGGTACATGAATAGGAAATGTTTAGAGGAATATGCGCCAAGTGTAGGCAAGAAGGGAATAGTTTAGCTTAGGAAACTTGGTTGGCATGGATGAGTTGGATCGAAGTATCTGTTTCCATGGTGTATGACTCTAAGACCCTAAGTTCATCTGCCTTATCTGTTATACACCTCGCATTAAAATAAATACACCTCAGACTGCCAGTCCTATCATGTTTAGTAAGCTCTCTCTATCTGTTCTTCCTATTAGTCTTACTGGCATTAGTCTCTGAGTCCTCCTCAGCTATTTTCCTTGCTGTCCTATTGCTCTAGTTCCTGACCCCTGCTGCACTAATCTAAGTTGCATTCTTTGGGATGCTCAACTGCAGCACTTTATTGTAAGTCACATCCATAGTCATAAAAAGCTGACTACTTATACATGCTCTCAAGAAAACGGTCTACCTGTGTCACTTCTAATATCGATCCACGTTCAGCTGGTTCTTCATTAATCTGTTTGTTCAAGGCATGCCTTGAAAAAAAAACACTGCTTAAAACTAGCAGCTGCTGAACTTGAACTACAGATTTCCGGTTAATTGCAACATTTTTTAACAATTCTTTTTTTTTTGGAAATTAAGTTTGGACAAATCAAAGATTTAGATTGTCTTAGGCAACAAATGCACGCTCAGTCCTAGAACATAGAAGTTTACAGCACAGTACAGGTCCTTCGGCCCACGATGTTGTGCCGAACTTTTACCTTAATCCTAAGGCCTATCTAACCTCCACCCCTACCTTATACTATCATCCATATCCCTATCTAATAGCCGCTTAAATGCCCCCAATGAGGCCGACTCCACTACCCTCTCCGGCAATGCATTCCACGCCCCTATCACTCTCTGAGTAAAGAACCTACCTCTGACATCTCCCCTATATCTACCTCCCTCACTTGGGTCAGCCAATTCTGAATCCAATCTGCCACATTTCCCCCTTTCTTATGCCTCCTTACTTTCTGCCTGAGCCTACCATGGGGAACCTTATCAAACACCTTACTTGAATCCATGTATACGTCATCCACTGCTCTACCTTCATCCAAGTGTTTGGTCACCTCTTCAAAGAATTCAATAAGGTTTGTGAGGCATGATCTACCCCTCACAAATCCATGCTAAATATCACGAATCAAACTGTGCCTACCCAAGTGATCATAAATCCTATCTCTCAGAGCCCTTTCCAATAATTTGCCCACCACTGACGTAAGACTAACTGGCCTGTAATTTCCGGGGTTATCCCTATTCCCTTTTTTGAACAAGGGAATGACATTTGCCTCTCTCCAATCTTCCGGCACCATACCCATGGACAGTGAGGACGAAAAGATCATCGCCAAAGGCCCTGCGATCTCTTCCCTCACTTCCCATAGAATCCTTGGATAAATCCCATCAGGCCCGGGGTACTTATCTATCTTCAAGTTCCTCAAAATTCCTAGTACATCTTCCTTACTAACATCGACCTCCTCTAGCCTACCAGCTTGTTTCACACTGTCCTCCTCTACAAGTAGGTCCCTCTCAGTTGTGAATACCAAAGAAAAGTATTCATAAAGGATCTCTCCTATCTCTTTAGGCTCCGTACACAAATTCCCTTTACAATCCTTGATTGGCCCTACCCTTTCTCTGGTCATTGTCTTATTCATCTTGTACATGTAAAAAGCCTTGGAGTTTTCCTTGATCCTGTCTGCCAAGGTTTTCTCATGCCCCCTTATAGCTCTCCTAAGCCCTTTCTTCAGCTCTTTCCTGGCTAACTTGTATCCCTCTAGAGCCTTTATAGAACATAATTTGAGTTAGGTTGCTAGCTGAAATGAGGAGGCAGAAATTCAGAGTAAATGAACTGGAGACGAAGGTCAGTGACACAGGGTCAGTGTTGGATAGCCAGTGACAGAGAGTTAATAGCAGAGGGTCCGAGACACAGATTTAGTGGCATTGGATCTGAGAGGGGGTCAATGACAGAGGGTCAGTGTCAGAGAATCAGTGACAGTGGGTCCGAAAGGGGACAGCAGACAGAGTCAGTCACAGTAGGTCAGTGGCAGAAAGTCTGTTACACAGAGTTAAAAAAGAGGACAAGAGTGTTGGAGTATGGGCTGCAAAGGCCAAGAGGGGGATCAAAGATGGAGGCAGGAGATTAGGCACATTAATGAGTGTATTGGAACCAGAAGATTTCCAGCTCCATCGGTACCAACATTTCGAGGTCCCGGAAACAAATCGCGAGAATTTCATGATGGTTCCGTTGACTTGCCAGCGTGGGCCCGCTAACAGACCCGAGTCCGTGGCGCCGAGAAACAGCGAACGTTCCGGCAGTTGATTTTCAAACTTCAGGCACGTGGGCGCCAGCAGGTGGCAATGTGCGCAGGCGCAGTATGCTGACGGTGTGAGTGACGCAAACTATTGGGAATTGGCGCAACCACAGAGAGGGCGGGATGGCTGGAGGTGGGACGGGAGTCGAAGGAGGTGGAAGCTTCAGGTATATAAAGCCTGTAAAAGAATCGTTGGAATCTATTCAGAGAGTAGTGAGGGAGGAAGGAAGGACAGAAGGAAAGAGAGAGTTAGGAGGTTTTTGTGTTGGGCTGTGGCTGAGATAGTTATTAACCCGTGAAGGAAGAGAATGCTTCGGTGTCTGGAGATCTGAAGTAGTTGACCACTGGCAGGGTCCGAGCACTGGTGGTACTTTGGCTTGTATTGGTTTGAGGGGTCACAATCGATTCAGCCATCAGCCCGGAAGCCGAGTAAAGGTAAATGTTGAAGTAATTGGCCGTTGGTTTCTGTGACTTGTCGAAATTATAAACCAGCGTGTTATCCTCCGTAGTGACTCTCCTGGTTTGTGTTTGACAACCTTTGTTCAGTTTAAACTTCACAAAACCGCTAAATTGATTCAGAGGTCTCTGAAGAATGCCAGGGCTTCCATAAAAATGCCTGCGTTTGTGCAGGCAAAATGCACACCTATTTGTGTTCTGTGGGCATTTACAACAGAATCGATTGCTCATCTAGGATTTAAGAAACAGCATACTAGCAACCCAGAAGCTTTACCATTCCCTACCATATACATAATCTGCCTTGATTATTCAGGGCATCTCGGGTGTCCCGTCTTTTTTTGGCTAAGAAGTCAGCTATCGATTAGCTATAAATCTCAACCTATCTGTGGCTACTCTTGTAAAATAAATGTATATTCCTTGTGTAGTTTTAATGGCAGAATTTGATTTAACTTGTGAATTGCTTTAATTTCTAGAATTTTTCAACAATGCCAAATGGTCCAGTAGCATTTAGCCACCTGCCATTAAGCTTCAGTGAGTGCCAACAAGGTGAAATTTAAACAAAGTAGTCATGTTTTTTAAAATATATGGATTAATATGATAGTGTAATAAAATCTATAGTAAATAATATTGAATTGGTACAACAGAATAGGATAGTGAGGAAAATTTACGGCATTAATGTGTATGAAGACCCTGCAATGCATCAGTATGTGACGATGCAGGTTACTCTTGTGTTGCTACAATAACACAGGTGGTGTAGCAAGATAATCTGAATTGGCACAGTAATGTTTACTTTTTCTTTAAAAGACCAGAAAACCTATTGCTATGTGTACGAACAGAACTGCTGAGAAACTTATACAGAAACATTAATTGTGTAATGTAACATGCACACTATCTGGGTAGCACATAGCTAATAAATAGCTTTACACAAATTGGCATGAGTCAAGGAACATGGCACAAAAATCTACTTGGTTGATAAATCAATGGCAGTGCAATAAATACAAAGCAACTAATTTTAGCTGTAAGTGTATTTTTATTGGAATAATATTTCTGATTGTGCTTAGTGGCCAGAGTTTTATCAGAATGTGCTCAAAGATTCTTGGCTGTCATTCCATTAGTTCAAGTACAACCTCTGATTTAATAATCTAAACTTTGTTTCTCAATAACCAGCAGCCGCCTTGCAATGACAAGATAGTGCATGCTATCATGATCAAGTAAAACCGTGTTGCTACAAGTTATCTTTTGGAAAAGAACAGCTAATCAGTTTATTTCTGCTACCAGAAATAGACTGAAAGACTCCAGGGAGGTAAAAGAATTCAAAGATAAAAGAAACGAGAAGTAATAATTATAGGCATCTTTTAGGAAACTGTCTTGACCCATCATTTGGCATTTGCAGGACTTCTTAATCAATCAAGGAATGTGTTTCACAGGCAAAGCCAGTATTTACTGCCTACTTCTAATTGGCCTTAAGCAGAGGATAATGAGATGCCTTCTTAAAAACCAGTTTAGTTGAGGGGCTTGGTTAGCTCAATTGAGTGGATGATTGTGATAACGGCAGTGTGTGCTCCATTCCTGTGGAGGTTGAAGTTACCATGAAGGACAACTCTCTACATTGTGGAGGCTTGGAGACTGCGCCCTGTTTGCGACAAACAACAACACCTTCCAGTCGCGAACCATTTCAACTTCCCACTCCCTGGGTGACATGTCCATCCTTGGCCTCCTCCAGTGTCACAATGACACCACCTGGAAACTGGAGGAGCAGCAGCACCTATTCCGCCTTGGGAGCCTACCACCATGATGTGCTAAATGTGGACTTTACTAGTTTTAAAATCTCCCCATCCCTGGCCTCCTCCCATGACCAACCCTCCCTCTCTCCCTGCTCCTTGACCTGACAAAACCTTTCCATCTTCTCTCCCACCCCACTGACCAATCCCCACCACTGCCTGCCAGCACTAAACTATCACCATCCCACCTACCTTCCCCAGCCCCCCCCCTCCTCTTACTATTTCCGAGCTCTCTTCCCCCTCACCCGTTTCTGAAGAAGGGTCCTGACCTGAAACGTCAACTTTCCTGCTCCCTGCTGCCTGGCCTGCTGAATTCCTCCAGCTCCACATTGTTATCTCTTCTATATCTTTGCCTTGCCTGAGGTATGATCATCCTCAGGTTGTTATAATTTGCTGTGGGACGTGCACTTCCCTGGCTGGCTAACATTTATTGCGTGTCCCTAACCACTTAGGTAGTAGCGAGCTGTCTATTTGAACCAATGTGCCTCTACCTACAACTCATAGATTGCGCGTTCTTTTGAGTGGGGGGGGGGGGGGGGGGGGGGGGGATGACCTTCAGGATTTTGACCCAGTGACACACCACCTCATGGTATTACAGCTGAACTATTTAATCTAGAGACCCAGGAAATGTTTTGGGGGCTTGGCTTCAAATCCTATCATGGCAGATGGTGGAATTTGGATTCAATAAGGGAAAAAAAATCACATTAACAGTCCAATGGTGACCATGAGACCATTGTTGATTGACAGGAAAACATCTCTACTTCACTAATGTCCTCTAGGGAAGGTAATCTCCCTACTCCTGGAGGAGAGACCGGTTCAAGTCCCATCTGCAGGTGTTATGACATCTTTGAACAGGTTGATTTAGAAAAATAGGTTAAAGTTTAAAAAAAATTAAAATTTAATTGGGCACCCTCTTAAAAGTAGGGGTTGCCATTTTAGGACAAATGAAACCTACTTTTTTCCCTGGAGGTTGTGTGACTTTGGAAAGCTCTATGGCCAATGAGTAATATTAAGGTGGAGGTTGATGGATTTTTGTTAGATTAGATATTAGATTAGCCTTTTGTCACAGATACTACTGAGTATAGTGAAGTTCATATGTCGCCACTTAGTGCGTCTTTGGTACAAAGGTACTTAGGTACAGTTTCTTTAGTTACAATATGTTAGAAAATAGCAGAATAGAATGTCTGGCATTGCTGAAATTTCTGAACAATGGACTTCCAACCCAGACCATGCTGGCACCTTGCCTAATGTCAGCAGTTGGTGCTTGGGCAATGCAAGGTGGCTAAGTTGCCACAGCAAGGAAATAAAGAATGAGGGTTAGATGAGAATATGAAACTTAAAACAGATTAGTTATGTCCATATAGTGGTTGAGCAGCTTTGAGATAATGAATGGCTTAACTTTAGTCATAATTTGTATGTTTGTAATTTTTTTATTCCAATTATTCAACATTAAAATATTTTCCATTGGTACAGGGGATTGATGTCTAAATTGAACATACCTTTGCCCCCTAACATTCTCCACACAGTTTCCATTTGTGATAGTACAGGGTTAGGTGTAGGTCAGGTGTTTATGGGTTCTCTCCCATAGGAAAGAGAAACCCAAGTGTTGTCATGTGGGCCTTGAAGGGCTCTGCCAACTTAATTCTGAACAATAATTACATCATATGCAAACTTAATTGATTCAGTAGTGCCTACCATGCTCCATCAACTTGTTAGCAAATCATGAAACTAAGTGATCTTCATATTTTCTATTTCAGTATGAATTTGACTAAATGGAACTCCAAAAGTACTTTATGTTGGGATGCAGTTGTCTTCGTGCACTGTCTGATTGCTGTTGCGTTGCTTATTGAAAATGTTGCTACTCTAGTAGTACATGTGAGTATCAAGCCAGTGTTTCCCAGTTTCATGCTTTTGCATTGTATATATTCTTGGTTTAAATTATAGCTAAATTATTTAATCCAGAGACCCAGGAAATGTTTTGGGGGCTGGGCTTCAAATCCTATATGGAAGGTTTTGGATTCCATAAGGAAAAAATGAGTCCAGTTTTGACCATGAAACCATTGTTGATTGACAGGAAAACTTCTCTAGTCCACTAATGTCCTCTAGGGAAGGAAATCTGCCATTCTTGCCTGGTCTGGCCTGCGTGTGACTCCAGGCACCCAGCAATGTAATTGACCCATAACAATTGGGCATGGGTAATAAATGTTGGCATAGCCAGTGATGCCTACATCCCATGAATTTTTTTTAAAAAATCTATCAGCTGTTACCCTAAGAAAATGATACATCTGTCTGTCATTTGCTTCGGACAGCAGTTTGTTTGCCACAAGTAATCTATATTGATGAAATATGCAGATAGAGAAACAGTTAATATTTTGAATCCAGATTCCTTTATCCTTGACTCCTCAACTCCTTGACTGCTCTTCCTCAATTTTTCTGCAGTGACTCCTTACCATTCTCCCAATTTTTCTGTCTCCTGTTCCAGCCACTTTACAGTGGAGTGCCCCAGACTTGTGCTTTTTTTAAATCCTCAACCAAGAATTACCCCCACTGCAGTTGACAGGGCTGTCATGTCTGATTCATTTCCTGCTCTTCTGCCCTCACTCCTTGCAGCGCCCCCCCACCAACCCCTGAACAATGATCAGGTTCCTTTGTCCTCCCTTTCCATCCACCATTCTTCAAATTCAAAAGATTATCCAGCACTATTTGAACCACCTCCAGCAAACACATCCCTTCCACTGCAGAGATATTCCCTCTGGGACGTCATAGCACTGATGGAAGAATGGAGTAACAATTCCCACTCTCCTCACACCTATGGCAATTGCAGAGGTGTAACACTTGATCTTTCTTCTCCCTTTTCACTGTCCAAAGCCCTAAACACCTTCCAGGTGAAGCAGGACTTTACATATACTTCTTTCAGTTTAATCAACCATATTTGTTGCTCAGTGTCACACCTTTAAATTGAGAAGGCCAAATGCAGACTTCCACAATGTGGAACGCCACTGGTCTGTCAGTAAGAATAACTGGCATTCCAGTTGTTTGCCATTTCAATAAACCATCTTGCTCCATACTAATATTTCTGTCCTGGGTCTGCTAATGTTCCAGCAAAGCTCCTACACCAGCTGGAGGAACAACACCTTTTTTGCTTAAGCTTTTTACAACCTTTAGGACTTGTATCTAGTTGGCTTTGCTTTCTGAGGAGGCTAATTTTATTTTTTTAAACAATTGTTTTGGATCTTTAACCTCCTTATCAACATTATCTTTGTGAAGGTGCCCAGGGCGAAAGACAATCTGTTCAACCCACTCTTGCAACATCTCTCCTTCTGTAACAGCATAAATGCAATTTCCAGCAACTTCCTGTTCTGACTAGAATCTCCCAAATATCAGTTCAGTTTCTCCCTCTCCAGATGCGTCAGACCTGTTTCTCTAGCATTTTCAGCTTTATTTCAGATTTCAGCATTTGTGGTATTGCTTTTGTTAGCTGATCTGTTAGTGCAAATCTCTTCGTCATTTTCTAAGTAAAATAAGGTTGTCTGACTTGCGGTTCATATGGGATAGCAATTACTTTTCTAGTCCACTGTGTTGCTCAATTATCCACATGAGTGGGAATACCTCCCTCAGACAACATTGCTAGAATTTGGAATGTGCTGTGAAGTTTAATGTGAAGAACTTGCCAAATTTTATTGTGGTGTAAGATGAGAATGGAAATAATACTTATTGGGTGATGTCTTAGTTGTATAGCACCACTGTTACTCTTGTCAAGGGTTGAGGCTAAGTGGTGTACTATAAATGTCAGCTACTTTGCTCATATCTTGGGCACAGACCTGCCAAATTAGACTAGCTTTTTGCTTGTGTAGGTCACTACTTCAGGGTTCCATTAATTCTAGTTCGGAATGTTATTGCCTTGAGGAATATCTCTGCAATGGGACTGAATGTTTGTGTTTTTCTTTTGGAAGATAAACATAGTTTAAGATTTGTCTGCAGTTTAAAGAGAATTATTTAGATGTCTGCCAGAGTTAAATGTTGGCTCCACCCCAGGCAAAATGCCTGAACCCAAATGTGCCCTGTAGGTATTGAAGTTTCTACATGTCTTTGCAGACTATTAGTAAACAACATTTTTAACAAAGTAAACTGGAAATAATAGCATGGGCAAATGATTTTCCTATGATTTTTCATGATATAGGAACTGCTTTTGTTCGTTAAACATTAAATGGGAGGCAAGGAAAACCCAAGGAATATTTTCCATTCAAGCTACCTGACTTTTTCTCAATTTGAAAAACTGACCCAGAAATGTAGTTTACTAATTTATGTAACTGAGGTCTTGAAGATGTATTTAGTTTCCTAAATAACTTTTATTGGGAAAAAGTATAACAGAGGAGCTGTTTTTATCCTAAAATAGATTAGATCATCTGTGTAGTTTGGAGGAGGCAATGATGGTGACACTTTCTTTTATTAAAAAGTGGAACGAAGTCTGATCCTGAGCCTGGAAATAACTGTTCCTGAATGGAGTTATTTCAGGAATGTAAACAATCCCTCTAACATCACTGGTTAGGAAATGTGAAATGTCTTCAAAAGAAAGACAGATAATGTCTCCAAGTGTTGAAATGAGTGCAGGGCCCAGTAAGGGAGGAACTAGAAGGAATGAGCACTTGTAGGGGAATTTGAAGGGATTAAAGACTGCTAAATCCCTTGGGCCTAAATCTACATCCTCGAGTACTTGAGGGGTTGCCCTCAAAATAGTGGGTGCATCGTTAGTCTGATATACAGCACAGCAAGATTCTGTACACAAACTGTTCCTATGGAATAGCTCGTGCTCTTAATAGAGCTAAAGAGAAAACAGGGAATTATAGCCGAATTAGCCTGACATCAGTAATGGGGGGAAAATGCTGGAATCTATTACAAAGTAGCACAGTTAGCATGGATTAACAAAGGTGGATCATGCTTGACAAATCTATTGGACTTTTTCAAAGATGTAACTAATAGTTGATAACAGGGAGCCAGTGGATGTGATTTATTTAGACTTAAAAGCCTTTTAAGAAGGTTCCACAAAATTTAGGATGTCAAATTGTGGGATTGGGGTAGTTTACTGATAGGTAAAGACCTGGTTGGCAGACAGGAAGCAAAGAGAATAAACTCTTTCCATGTGGCAGGCAACAACTAATATACTACAGGGATCAGTGTTTGGACCATAGATACTCACAGTATAAATGATTCAGATGGAAATAATGCAATGTCTCCAAGTTTTGCAAATGACCCAAGCTGGGTGAGAGAATGAACTGAGGAAGATGCAATAATGCTTGTGATTCAGACAACAAGCTGAGGGAGTGGGTAAATCATGGCTGATGGAAGTATATAATGTGGACACATGAGCTTGTCCACTTGGGTAGCAAACGGATGTAGGCAGGTGGTTACCTGGACAGTGATTTTGATAGATTGGGAAAGGCAGAGGTACAATGAGACCTGGGTGTCATTGGACACCAGCTGCTGAAAGTAAGCATGTAGTGGAAAAGGTAAATGGTATGTTGGCCTTCCTGTTGAGGATAGTTTGAATACCAGGACAGGATATCTTCAGTCATATAGGCCACTGATAAGACCACACCTGGAGTATTATATGCAGTTTTGGTCTCCATCTGAGGATTATCCTGGCTATAGAGGTTGGGCAACGAAGTCTGCCAGGCTGATTGCTAGGATAGCAAGACTGACATTGAGAGACTGAACTGGTTAGGACTGTATTCACCAGATTTGGGAGAGGGGCCATCTCTCAAACATGAATTGCTACAGGATTACACAGACTAAAGTAGGAAGGATGTTTCTGATTACTAGGAGTCAGAAGCAGAAGTCATGATCTAAAGATCTGGATTAGGAACACTTAGAGGGGAAAAACTTCTTTGCCTAGTATGGTGACCTGTGCCATTCCTTTTGACAGAAAATGGTTGAGGCTCAAACATTTAAATGTTTTCAAGGAGTTGGGGAGTTTTTGGAGCTAAAGGAATCAAAGGATATGGGGAGAAAGTGAGAGCAGGGAACTAAGTTGGATGATTAGCCATGAATATATTATTGGCTCCACTCATTAGATTTCATAAATGACGTGAGAATTTAGACATGGTTAGTAAGTTTGGGGATGAGACCAAAATTGGTGATATTGTCAAGTGAAGAAGCTAATCTTGGATTATAGAGGGATTTGATCAGTTGGGCCAGTGAGCTGAGGGGTTGAAGATGGAGTTTAATTTGGATAAATGCAAGATATTGTGTTTTTGTGAAATGAACAAGGACCAGGCTTATACAGTTAATGGTAGGGATCTGGGTAGTGGTGTTGAACAGAGACCTAGAGATTCACATACATAGTTCTTTGAAAGTTGTCACCGATTGAGTATTAAGAAGCCATTTAGCATCCTTTACTTCACTCCTAACTCTATTTGAGTGGAGGAATTGGGACATCATTTTGAGGTTGTAAAGGATGTTGGTGAGGCTACCTTGAAGTAGTGTACGGATCTGGTCACTCCGTCATAGGAAGATATAAAGGGTTCAAGAGTGACTTCTTTTTTACCAGTATGTTGCTGGAATTGGAGGGTTCGAGTTGTAAGGGGAGGCTGGATAGGCTAAGACTTTATTTGCAGGAGCATAGTAGCTGAAGGGTGACCATAGGGGTCGAAAATATTGAGGGACATGAAAAGGTAAATAGCAAAATACTGAGTTTTGAATTCCACCACCAAGGTGAGGAGAAAGACTTGAGACCAGAGGGACAACCTCTTAACACGGTGGTTCACATGTGGGCTAAACGCTTAAGATTTGGACAAGTATGTGAACAGGAAAAGTTGAGGTGTATGCACCAAACACAGGCAAGAGGAACTAGTTTAGTTTGGGGAAACTTTGTCAGC